AGTGGCGTAGAGGGGGGAAGGCGGCGGGGGTGTATGCATTTCTGGCATTTGCATACAGTAGGTCCAGAGTTTTATTGTCCCTCGTGCGGCAATTAACATACTGTTTGAAGTTAGGGAGGGTGGCCGAGAAGGGGAGGGAGGCATGGTTAAAGTCCCCCGAGATAAGAATTAAAGCACGTGGATGTCGTGCAGTCCGGGTGCGTGCTCAGCGCGCAGCCTTAGCATCGGCCGAAGGATTAATGTACACCATCATCAAAATCACATGGGAGTGCTCCCTAGGGATGTAGTACGGCCGTACGCTCATAGCTAATAGTTCAATGTCCCAGCTACAGAATTTTTCCTTAACAGTTATGTGTTCGGGATTGCACCATCTGTTATTAAAGTAAATCGCCAAACCTCCACCTTTCCACTTACCACTGTCAGCCTGCTTCGATCTGCCCGAATTAGTGTAAATCCTTGTAAGGAGACCACAGAATCTGGAGTGTTGTTGTTCAGCCAGGTCTCGGTGAAGCATAGCAGGCTTCTCTCCCTATACTCACGTTACAGTCTCATTAGCGCTGTTAGCTCGTCCATCTTGTTGGAGAATGACCACACCGTTACCCATAAAGACAGATGGTAAACATGGCCTATACTTCCGTTTCATCTCCCGGCACTTTATGCCGGCTCTGCAGCCCAGCATTTCACGCCGTGTTTCCAAGGGAATCTCCAGCTTCTCCCCGTGAGGTTGCTTCTGAGTGTTAGTAGTTGGCTTCGGGTGTAAACAATGCGACCGGCATCTCCTGACTCTGGAGCTCGCGAAGTAGTAAGAGTCATAATGCAAACACAATGACAGTTTGTACTCCTGGTAGCACAGCACCACTGAGGACTACAGCAAGAGAATAACACAAAGCAAACACTGGAAAACTTAATAAAAACATGAAAGAAAACACAACCAGACCAGAGCTGCTGAAACTTGCTGCCACTCAGCGCAGCGCATGCGTCGTTAGTTGTGGCAGGTTCATTTTCTCAAAACACATCCTGCGCCATTGAAAACCCAATTTCCCACATTGGACAGTACAGCTGTGTGGATATAATGGGGAACATCTTGAGAGCAACCTTTCAGCCTAATGACATGCAGCTCTACCTGTTGAAATGCCACAGTCTGAACTGAACTGTGTTGCAGACAGAACATCTTCCAAGAACAAGGCAGATAACCAAATAACCTGACAGAACATCTTCCAAGAACAAGGCAGGGTGTTAACCATTTCACTCACCAAATAACCTCCGCTTACGGTGCCTTCTTTCATTACATAATAGCTACAGTACAGTGAAAAACAAAGTCAAAGAAGGACAGATGGGGAGATGACAGACACACCTCTCTTTTACTCAGATTCTACATCTTTGTATTTTGTATTTGCATGTTTGTTTTTTCCAGTGTCAGTGACATATCCACAGCTGTGTTTAAGCTAGACTACACTGCTGAAACTGCAGTCACTCTACAATCCTCCAGATGGACAAGCTTGTTTGCTAAAATTAAAAGCAACCACCCTGTGATGTTTGTAATCAGCCTATTCTTGTCTTAGGTGTGGATGATGGTGCAGACATCCCTAGAGACATGGTGGTGGGAATCTATGAAAGAATACAACAAAGGGAGCTTCGCTCCAATGAAGACCACGTCACCTATGTCTCCAAGGTTGAGCAGTCCATCGTTGGCATGAAAACGGTGAGGACACACACACACAATTTGTACTTCTAAACTTGTGGTGTCCCTTCATAATGTTAAATGGTCTTATACTTGTATAGCGCTTTTCTCTGCATTGTACTCAAGGCACAATATTTGGCCATTCATCCATTTGCACTCCCAAGCACTCACAAATTCACACACCAGTGATATCACCAGGAGTAGGTGGGGGTTCATTGCCTTGCTCAAGGACGCTTCGACAGCCAGCCTTCAGTTAGAAGATGACCTGCTCTGAGCCACAGCCACCCATAGTCATCCATTTGCAGCCCCCCTCAACTTTAACCTGACCACTTCAGGCAGTAGAACAAGTTGTAAATGCATCATATTTATTACTTTATAAAGACATGATGGCAAATACCTGGACAGTTACACATTCAGCAGACTTGGTGCCACATTAGTATTCAGTCGTAGCCATGTCTCTGGCAAATCTGGGTCAAATTTTCAAACAGTTTTTAACTGCGTTTTAAGGGGAAAATGTACATATTGCTTGTATGTTGCTGTGTCCTGTGCTGTGAAACAGCATTCGCTCCTTAATATCCAGTGTGCGCTTAACTTTTCGAGGCTGCGTTTTCTTCCTTAGGAGAGAACCATGCACAACACAGAGATCATCACTTTGTTACTGTATGAGTGAATTTTCAAGCTACAAAGGGCTAAAGGGGTATTCTCTTAAAAACATATGACTGACTTTAATTGACAAAGACAAACTCACTGGGGTTTCAGATGTTGCAGCACAATCTATGATATATTTTAAACCTTGGTTTCATTTTGTTTGTTTGCTTTAACAAAAGAAGGAGTTTGTCTGCGGTGGGAGTTGGAGAAAAGGATCATTATATGTCTCAAGGACTGCAAAACCATTGTGAATTAATTTATGCACTACTAGAAATCTCCAACTCTTACCATGTCCGTGAAAGGAAAATCCTCTGCTAACCCAAAAAAGCACTCTGGCTTTAACCATTGGGGGCAACTTGGGGTTCAGTGTCTTGCCCAAGGATGCTTCGACATGTGGACTGCAGGCACTGAGCTTTGAACCTTCAACCCCCCAGTTGGGAGACGACTGCTCTACCCACTGAACTAGGAAATGATTATAAATGGCTGGAATGTGACAGCATGTACAAGGAGTACTGCACCGTCTGCCACCGGGCTTCCTCAGTAAGTCACGGAGGAATTTGTGACATTAAACAGCATGTATACGGAGAAAAATCACAAAAGGAGTGGGAGGAGGACCCAGGGAGTGGGAGAACTGTTAAAGTTCCTTGTAAGCCAGGCATCTCCAGAGGCTGTGTTCCATAGTTCAGTTGCCCTAAATAAATACAATTCAATAATTAATCCTTCCTTTATTTAGAAGATTCCATCTGTAATCTAAAATGTGTTTGCACTAATGATTGAGATGTTTTCATAACACCACCCCACCCCCAACCCCGGCATCCCTTATTTCCATTTTTGCAAGCTGGCAACCCTAGCAAGCAGTGAAGATTCTCCCTCGCTCTTCAATCTGATTCTGCTCTTACAAATCCGTTCCTGTGCTCTCAAATCTGTATTTGCACTTACAATCCTGTGTCTGCACACTCTCAAATGCTGAGCTGCAAACTCAGTAGTGCTTGAAATGTGGTTAGAGAGCCCTCAACCATTATGGTGGGGACCTGCTTCCATAAAAGACAGACTCAGATGCAGAAGAGCATCAATCAGTGTAAGTGACAGCTTACACTGATTGGTGCGGGAATGTGCTCTGTGCACTCTCATGAAAGTGAAAGGGTTTTACAATGCTTCAACAGAGTTCTACTGCAATCAGTGTACAAAAATCTTTCAATTCTTTATTTATAAAACAGAAACGGTTACTGTTTTTCCCCACAGACTTTTGGATATTCAACATTGTAACACATATTGCATTCACATAGGAGTGCCAGGTTTAAACATGCCATCAAAACTGCTTTCAGGTGAAGGCAGTCACTGTACGCTGTCTATTTCATGAGAAGTGGAACAGAACACCATTAAACTGTTTACAAGACACTGTCAAATTATAAAAGAAAATCACATTTCTGATTAAATCCTTGCAATGCTAATGATATTCCAATCAACCTTATCTGTAGTTTTTAAGCATGCTATCACACTAAAACACATATGAGGAACATGGTAGTTACTAGCTTAACAGCATTTCTACATTGTGTTAACTGTAAGTCAACCTGTCTCATGCTGCTTGCTGTCCATCTATAATACAAACAAGCTTTTGGTTGATTTCACTATAAATTCACTTTTTAATTAGTTTTTGAATTTAATCTCACTTAACTTTCCAAATGACATTGGAACTCTGACATTGAAACGACTGCAGCCGTGATGTTTTTTATTTCCCATTTTTTGGCCTGTGCCTTCAACTGTCTGTCAATGATGGATGAGTAGCCATAGAATGACAGAAGGAGTGTTGTCTTAGCCAAAACAATGATGGATTGTTGTGACAGAAAGTGACTTCTGCTGCCCATGGGAGCTGTTCACCATAAAAAGAAATAGACTTAGTTTTCCACAGCAGCTGTCACTGTAATTCTATTATAGATTACAAACATCTTATCTATTATGCTCTCAATAGTCCACATGACAATATTTTTTTTATAATAGGTTTCTTCATAGTAGGAGTTGGGTTGATGTAAATATTTAATGAAAGCCTTCTAATAGTCCTTCTAGAATATGGTGAAGTATCTTGTATCTAAATGTTTTCCTACATGAACATGATTCACAGAATACATGTTACCCATAAATAATTAGTTAATGAATAGATTGGCAAATTTCATCAAATGTTTCTTAAAAGTCATGTCAGGAAAGGACTTTTATTTTTTGAATGAGCAGGAGGTATTTCATACTAATGATGTCTTTACATGTTTCTGACATTAGTGCTGGGCAGAAACCAGTGATGAAAAAGCAGGAGGGAAAGTGACAGTGGTCTGTAATCACTGCATTGCAAGTCATCCACAGGAGGCAGAGGGAATAAAATCAGAAAATGCACATTGAAAACATATTTGTAGATGGAACCAAATCCACAACTCATTCAGCTGCAGTTTGAATTTCTGCAGTGATTGAACACGGAAATCTAGAAGAGACATGTCAGAGAGACAAGAGTGCAAAGGGGTGAGGACATGATTAGATCACTCTGAAAAGGCGTTGGCCATTTTTGCAGTGTAATTTGCTTAAACCTGAAAAAGCACTTAAATTGAAGAGGAGAAGCCAGGCCTCTAGTAACACAACTCCAGCATCTTACATAAATGAATAAATACATTTACACCTGACTTCCAAGTACAGTGTAATGCTGCCGCCACCTTTGCTAATCCACCTTGGTGGGGTGAAAGAGCCAATAGCTAAATAACAAGATGTGTACTGCAAAAAAATCACTACACTCCATTTGGCAACAGCTCACAAAAGCAAGTAGAACAAGCTTCACCATACCAGGTACACTGTAAACCATGTGAAACTGACTTTAAAATGCTGCTGCCTTAAAGCTACTCTTCCTAATTTCTTTTTAGCTGATGATAGAGGGTCTAGTGAGATTCAAAACACCATAAGCCAATTCTGGGTACAACTTATGTCTCTTAAAAATAGTTCCTACGCCCTCAGCCCTCAGAACGACTTTCAGTTTGATGCTCCAAGTCTCTTATATTGGCTCTGAGGACCGAGGACGGTGCTGGAGGAACCATGAATGAGGATACACAAGACCATCCTTTGTGGAAGTTTTTTGTGAACTTCACATGCCCCTTTATCAGAAATCAGTTGGTGATCAGACACTTCAGATGAAGGATCTGAGGAAAGGACATCTCATGTCATTAATAATGTTCTTCCTCAAGTCCTTTCTCCTCATTTCTCCTCTTATCTTACGTGGGTGAGAGTAAGACAAGAAAAGATGCAAGTGAGGGAAACGACAGTGCTTATAAGAAACATGAACTGTACCCTGTGACCTTTCCATCACGTCCTGTTTCCTAGTGACATGGACTATGGATGCCTGGTTGCGACAAACTGTATAAAATGTAGCCACCAGTTCGAAGCTAGCATTAGCTGACTAATGAGTAAATTAGGCAATCCAGTAGAATGCTCCTGTTACTGCTGATGTGACAGAAAGCACTAACATTATATAAAGCCCTGTAACTCCAAAATTAAGAAGATATGGATTCGATAGAAAGGTAAACTTTTGGCCATGCTAGGTCTAAGGTTGCTAAGGTTATTAAAGCAAACATATTAGCTTTATGTGTTAACACATCCAGAAGGGAGAACACCACATCTGAATCAAATTTGAGTCTGCTTTTAACACTCTCCATATCAAAAGCCAAACCAATGTTAACCCTGGTTTTTGCTCTTTGTGACACTCTGGATTCTGTCCCGCTGTCTGGCAGCCACTGTTTCAGATTTTTTAAAAGAACAAGAGGTCCTTTGTTGCCAGGTGTTTAAAAATGACTACTAGTAGTTCAAAAACACTTCTAATAACCTTCACTAGAAGGTTGGCAAGGCTAATTTATGGAAGCTGGAATAACAACAGAAGTACTGTATGCAGCAGACTGTCAAAGAGGTGATTAGTTTATCAGAGACATCATGTCCTGTCCCATTGTCACTCAACCAGACAATGTAAAATCTTAGTTAATGCACATTTATACATATGAGTTAACTGAACTTAGGCTGACTAACGTTGTTTTGACAGCTGTGCGTTTCTTTCTCTGCAGGTTCTTTCGGTCCCTCACAGAAGATTGGTGTGCTGTAGTCGTCTTTTTGAGGTGACAGACGTCAACAAGGCCCAAAAACAAGCAGCACACCAAAGAGAAGTCTTCCTCTTTAATGACCTTATTGTGGTAAGCATGCAAAAAGCTTTGTACCTTCATTCATTTGAAAACTATAAGTTTTGTTTCTTTTAAACCACCCCTCAAATGGACATTTCTGCTGCACACAGTTGAACTTTAAAGCTGCTTATTTTGTTGTGACAGCTGCAATGCACCATCACCTACTTTGACTGTGAGCCTATTGTCAAGGCTCTCTCTGTCTTCTTTTATGTTTCTTCATAACTCAGGCATCTTCAGCCATTTCCTTTAATAACAGATATTAGCAAATGCAGTGTTGTAGTGCACTTGTGAGCAGAGAGCTGTCCCATAGCCAGCAGCTTTAAAGGACCAGTAATAAAGTTGCATTCCACTTAGGCCTTGGTCCAGATAAGTTACTCACTTGGTCCAAAGTCTTGTAAAATGGAATGAATTATCAAAGGTTTAATGTTGGGCATAATTACTGGGCTCATTGGGAGCCACTAGAGGTTATCTAACCAAACAATTTAACTACTCTCATAATTAAGTTAGATGTTGTTCTCACACTAACAAAAGACAGCAAAAGGGAAAAGCAGCACCACTATCTGCCCACCTCCATTTTTCTTTCAGCTGAAATGTAAGAATAATTGGTAGAAGCAGAAAAAAGGAGATTAAAAGACACTTTTGAAGTAAGTGGCTAGAGAAGTTATCGGCCAAAAGTCAGTGGTGAGATATATTTCAGCATGGCGTTCTCTCCTGACAGCTTAGAAAGTGCAGCAAAAACAGCATTACTCCAACAGATTGGAAGTGATGGTGACTTTCCTTTGAATTTGGTCTGTTCTAGCAACGTGAACATGTCAAGAAGTGCCAACATGATTTATTCTGTTTAATATATCTTTCCTGGTAAATTATACCCCACAGTAGCTGTGCCTAAAAAATGTGCCTCGTGTTTCTCTATCAGTGAAAAAGCTTGAATAATGTCTCTAATCCATCCTGATATTAGTGCACCATCCAAAACACACTGAAGGTAGTGCGCATTAATATTGAATCAATTTGTTCTTTAAATGTATTTTAAATGATTAACCGGTTGTTCTTTCTGAGCCTTCCTTGAAGTTTTGTGATACGGAAGTCTTAGTGACAATCAAAAAGATTTCAGAACTGTTGAGAACACTAAACAAAATAATTTAATCTTTGTCATTAAAAGTTGTTGCTATAGCTGGTTTCTAATTGTTTTCTCAGATCCTGAAGCTATGTCCAAAGAAGAAGAGTTCTGCAGCCTACACTTTCTGCAAAGCAATGGGCCTACTTGGCATGCAGTTCCACCTGTTTGAAAATGAATGTGAGTCACTGTGTCTGCAGTGCAGACAACTGGCATAAAAACATCATACACCCCATGTAATGACCATACTTTGGACTGAATAAATGAAAAAAAAACTTTTCATACATTCATTTTCATATTTGCAATATACTGCAAGTTGATTGTTTTCATGGCAACATCTGCAAAGGAAAACAGTCTATATTGTGCAGATTGTCATTTTAGATCTTTTTGTACAATATTCATGTCTCTTAAGTAATATATATATATAACATTATCTTGCAAAAAGTACTGTCGTTTTTTTCTCAACAACTTAACTCCCTCTGCGCTCCCCAGACTACCCTCATGGCATCACTATCCTCTCACCGTTTGGTTCAGACAAGAAGCAGGTACTTAACTTCTGTGCCCAAAGTGCTGAGGAGTTGCTCAAGTTTGTGGAAGACCTGAAGGAATCAATTGCAGAGGTGTCAGAGATGGAGCAAATACGCATAGAGTGTATGTATACACCATTACGCTAATTTCCCCCCCAATAAGAAAATATTTTGTAATAATTAGTGTGTATTCCTCATGTAGCAATGCACCCTGCAGTATACGATCATGTTACATTTTGTACCAAAGCGGTAGCCTCACATTTTGGTAAGTTGGAATCAATTGGTCCTCAGATACAACACATAAATCAAAAGGCATCTAACATTTGTGCCATTTGTGTAGATGCAGATTTGCATTTTGTTTTCATTGGTGCACAGAAGCCCAAACAGACTGCAGGAGGGCAGTGAATTGGAGGTGAAAAGAGAGACCAGTATTCCTGAAAACAGCTATGCATCTGAGTTGTTTTTGGTTTATGAGCATATGAAACTCTCCAGACAATAAAACCTGTGCAAACGTAGACACATATGGACAACCTGAGTGTCCAGAACCACGGCTCCTGCCACTGGGCGTCAAAGAGAATGTCCCTGCTATGATCCACCGCAACAGCTTTACCCTTCACAGAGACGGAGGGGCAGCCCAAGGAAAGCAGGCAACAACATATGGAGACAGGCAGGGATTGACAGAAGAACTTATTTCTGTCTCTACAGTGGAGCTTGGATAGACAGCATCTGTGCGCACAAGCACCAAATGCCATACATACAAATAAGAATGCATGCTGGGACATATTTTTTAAAAGACATAGAAACACAAAAACAGCACAAATGTTTCTCAAGACATAATGTATGAACATAATTTAGATGAAGAGAGAATAATTTTTCAAAAATATTCTGGGAAGGTTCCTGGGGATAAAATGTGTGATTTCATAGTAATTTTAGGTGAAATGACAATTCATAATAATAACTGTTCTTTATACAAGATTAAATTTATGTTCATCCTGCTCAGAAATTGCACATCTTGGCATGTTCAGCTGATTTTAATTAGTATCAAAATACTACCCTTTTAAGGAAACTTCTAAATAGATTATTGTAAAATTTGATTGGAAAATAAAGTTACCATTAAACCAGTTTACAGTTTCATCTGACCCTTTTTCTGTGACAACAAAAATAGAAAAGGGGACACTTTCTGTTTGGCTGCCATCACATTTTTGGCACACTTGCACCCAGATGAACTGGAGGACACTTTGTATTGCAGCCTGAATGTCTCATCTGGTAGTTATGTGGTTCAGCATCAAAATTAGAATGCAGCACGGTGTCAGAGACAAAACAACATTTAGTCATCACGATTGGAAATGACATGCAATTACCATCAAGTGTGAAGTTTAATTAGAGAGATGTAGAGTTGTGTTTTGAGCTTAGTGAAGAGAGTGGGAGGGGAAGGCAACAAGAGGCTGTTTGTGTGTGTGTGCACTCAGACATTTGAAAAATAATTATACCAATTAACGTTGCAACTCTTATCCCTATCTCCCTGCTTATCTACATCCTTTGCTCTCTTCCATAGGGATTTATGATGATCATCATCTCTGTCTTCTGTTCTCTGCAGGGGAGCTGGAAAAGCAGCAGGGAGCCAAGACACACACAGTAAAGAACAATGGCACACAGCTAGAACTGCGTGGCAAACATAGCTCCCCATCAGGTGTGTGTGTGTGTCCGTACTGTCTCTTTTTAATTTTATTAAACCCACTACTGAGACCGTGTCCCGCACTGCATTAATGCACCTGCTGTTGACACACGGTTGTTCCACTGCACTTTTATGAACTGATCATTTGGAAAAAGAAGTTATTGACTATTATTAAAAGGGGGTGATTTGTGCTAGAATTGCAAATATTGTAAACTGGGCAATTCACTGTTTGCTAAGCCAAGCCCCCAATGCAGTTCATTAAGTATCTAAAATTGCTTGTCATTATTTTGAAATACAAATGCATTTGTTGTTCCTTTTAAGGTGCAGTAAAAGAATAAAAATCCTTTTTAACACAGACATTTCGCTGCCACTTTTATCCCTCTTTCTTCCACACCCAGGAAACCAGGGGGTAGATGACAGAAGTGGACACAACGCAGTAGAGGTAAGTGCTAACTGACAGGGCTGTGCCCGAAACAACAGGTAAGTCAGCGCAGTAAGAGGCAGCGCAGTGTATCACTATCTAGGTAGGATGAGATGAGATGAATCCACAGGACCAGTCATACTGTATGTTTAAGTTAGGGTTAGAAGCGTCAAGCAGGAGTGGGTGACGAGTGCATGAGAGAGCGAGTGCTGCTGGGTAAAGCGCTGCGGGCATGTGAGGTAACACAAACCAACTAAATATTAGGTAAATGGACTCCTGTCCTGTACAAAAATGAAAGCTGGCGGTCCGGGGAATTTAATAAAACCATAGCAGTCAGAATAGGTTCTGATCTAAATCACACTAAAAAAAAGAACAGGCTATAATTAGTTTCACAAGCTTATGTAGAAATTATAATTCCTTTAAGGCTTTTCAAAAAAAAAAGAAGGAAGCAGCCATGCTAGAGGTACAGTAGCTCAGATCAGAGGATGTGCGCACACACCCACATTTAGCACCAAGACATTACTTAATGTCATTCTTATTTTAGGGTTTTTTTTCTCTCACTGGTGTCGTTAGTGGCTCCTGTATTTAGTTCACCCTGAGATCTATTAAACTTCAGATCTCATTGTATAAGAGGCTATCATACTTTTTCAAATTTATGTTGATCATGGCTCCCTATTATCAGCACCCAAAGGCTGCTAAAAGAAAAACAGCCCTTGTATGCATACAGTGAAATCAGTAGATATTCCACTGCACTACAAAGCAATCATTTTATTTTTATGCCTTTAAATGAAGCCATGTTTGTGCTGCTGTAATTATTGTCATTCTACAGGCATTTTTTTGGTATTCAGTATGAAATATATGTAATTACACGGGAGTCTAACCATCTCTTGAATAAAGATTTATAGCTTAATTACCAGTGAGCTGTGTGGAATTAAAAAGCCACTGAAAATCACCCTGACTCTGTTTGGCTTTTCATTCACAGCCCTTAACTCCACTACTGTAGGAAGTACTAGGAAAGGTCTTCTGGTGCCTGGAGGATGTTAACTGAAAAGCCCCATGGGCACTGTAGGTCAGCTTGCTTACTTGCTTCCCTCAGAGATCTGGCAAAAGGATGGGAGGTGACAACTCAAGGCCACCTGCACATTACTATGTTAAAAGGCTATATTTTCATCTGCAGTATAGCTTAAATCAGTTCCATTCCAAAAAAGGACAATCTCTTATATGGCTGATTATGGGCTTTCCTTCTTCCCAGTTTTTTTCCACCCCTCTATGCACCTCAGGTTCATGGTTGTCCTAGCTACCTTCAACACCTGTCTTCCCCCTCTGCTACGCAGCCAAAGGTAAATGTCGGTGGTTGGTGCGGAGCCGTTAGCTGTCAAAACACATTTATCTTGGAAACCAAAAGGGTCACGCAGAGAAACCCGGCTTACACACAGAGAGGCATGACTATAGGGATGTAAGAATCCCTTAGAATATTTGATAAGCAAGTTGAGGTTCTAATTGTCTGGTGTAGAGCAGTAACAATAAGCAAGTCTGTGGAGATTCAAAATGGCTCATTTGGTTAGAGCTCTAAGAACAGTTAAGACAACCAGTGGTATAATTTATGTACATCTTAGCCTTGCTTTTGAAAAAGAGTCCAGCCAATAGAATTAATCTGAGAAGTGTTAATGTGTTCATCTGAGTCACTTTTGATTAATACATAGTTCACAGCAGTTAGGATTTATGGACAGCAATGATGAAAAGGGCTTTAAACCAAACCTGGTAATGACCCGTTAGTCCAACAAAGCCAACAGTTTGGTGGAGTACATGTTTAAACACAAAGTATCTGTTAGTCTCGGACATGAAAAAGTTAAAGCACAAAACAAGCTTTCTACACAGAACAGGAAAAGCAGGCAAATAGAGGATATGATATTCATTTTAATACTGAGCCGTCTACTTTAAACCCATGTAAATATATTTATCAATAACAAAATTTAATCTTAATGATATCTGAAGCCATTTGCTTGTGATGCTGTGGTTGCACAGTCTTTACAAGTCTTTCTGTCCTCTATTCACTGTAGGCTATGCATTTTAGTCTGTGCTCATTCCAAGAATTTTGATGATACTCCCTATATTTCTGTTCTGACATATGCACAATAAGGTAACTTGGAAGCATACTTCCTAGCATAGCCTATGTAAACAGAGTTCCTGGTGAGAAACAAAAAAGGAGCGGAGATAACAGGGGGAAAAGCAGTCAGGGCAGATAGCTGTCAACAAAAAACTAGAGCTGAAACAAATGTGATATTTGGAGGTTTGCATTCTGATGAGTGTTGCCTGTCTGTGGTTGTCAGCCTGCTCACCTTCTCACCTCCTCTCCCTCTTTTTCGTATGACCTCCGACCTCCGTCTATGTTCTGGTAACCTTGATCCCTTCCAACCCCCTCCCCCCCGTGTCCGCTGTCACAATAGCGCCACACAGTGGTTTGGAAAGGAGACACAGGGGCCCTCAGTGTCCCCTTTGGAACCACCGGGCCCCTTCTGTAGCACTGCACCAAAAGTCTTCTCCCTATTCCCCACAGCTCCTTCTGACCCCAGTCACACACTGGTTCTCCCAGCATCCAGTCTGCACTGCTCCCACTTCCTACGGAGGTGGAGGGAGGAGAATGTACAGTAGTCACAATAATTTTACACCTCCACTGACATCCAACACCTAAGCCCCCCACACATGCCCTGTATGTGTGTGTGCGCATGCTGTGTGTTCACCACCCCCCAAAAAGAAAGAGGGCTTGACGGATTGTAGAGGAGGAACCAGTTTTATAACATTTGATGCTGTTCTCTTGGCTGTTTTCTAAACTAGGTGTCAATTCACAACAGGCTTCAGACGTACCAGCTCAGCAGCAGCGCGGTTCGGAGCCCTGAGAGTATGGTCCTTCTTAAACACCAGGGGGAGCTGCTTTTCCAGCAAGAGCCCCAGGGGCTAACCCAGGGGCCAGCGCCTCCACCTCAGCATCCGCAGCTGCAGTCAGCGGCAAGCACCCCCGCCCACCACCTCCACCTCCAGCAGCACCACCAGCCTGCTGTCTGCATGGCTGATCTGCGGCCCGAGACACTCATCCAGTGTCAGCAGATTGTCAAAGTCATCATGCTCGACAACAGCAGCCACGGACGCGTAGAGGCCTTCCTCAGCCAAACACCCACACACCACCACCACCACTATCAGCATCACCACCACAGCCACCACCAGCTCAGTCAATCTGCCATGTCCACCCCGGTCCATTTGCTGGACAGCTCCCATGGCAATGACGGCCCCCAGCCCCCGCTGCCTCCCCCGCCTCCGCCTTACAACCATCCACACCAGTATATACCCCCAGACCCTCGCCTCAGCCTGCACCGGACCCCAAGTGGCTCTCGGAGCATGGTGTAAATAAACAACTTAGTATTATATCCCTGAAAGACACACACACACTTCCACCAAACCCAACCTCTTCTCTACCTATTTAACAGTACATGATGTACATATATACATAAAAACGAAAGAGCTATAATAAAAAAAGAAACCACACTAATATGCATATATTTAAGGAAAAAATAAATTCAAGGAAAAAAAAATCACAGTTTTAAAAGAGATATTGAGAAATAAAGATATAAAGTTTTACTTGATTCCACGTGTATTTTGAAATATTATGTAGTTTTAACAAATTTCTATAACTTTTTGTGAGTTTTAACTCTTGCTCGAGAGAAACGCACTGATACCATTTCTGGATGGAGTCCTTGTAGTTCCAGTGTTAACAAAATGAGCGATCCGATAACGGACGGACACACTCCAAGGACCTTCTGCTTCTCTTCGCTTTTCATCCCAAACCACATACCTACTGTGCTGTATGTGCGCGTGCGTGCATAGTTGACACTTTCTGTTAAATGTGCCAAAATCCATACGCCTCCACTAAACACTGACTTCTTTGCACTTGACTCAATGCTAGGGCTAGAAGAAAAGAAAACACTCTTCTCTTTTGCTTTGAGAAAAGATCCTTTCGCACTTCTCCCTGAAGGAGCACAAAACTATTAACAAAACTGATATTTCATAAAATGCTATCTTCCCATTTGTGCTTCTGTGGATTTATTTATGTGATGGAGAGCCTTCTCTCTTCTTCTCTGCTCTGCTGGATTAAAAAAGAAGAAACAAAAGCCAAACAACATCCGCTCCTCTGTTGTGTTGTGGCTCTCTATCATCTCTATCACTCAGTTGTTTCTCTCCATAGATTGCTCTGTAGTGAAGGAAACAAAGGCAACCATTCATACAGAATTGCTGCCAAACCAAAAAGTCAGTGCAGGATTCCTCTGTTGATGTTTGTCTTTTACACGTCATATGTAATATCGTTACTACTTAAGAGGAATTCTAGCCACATTCATCTGCTGACAATGGAAAACTGTCTTATTTTGAAAGCGCTTCTGAAACTGCTGGCTGACTTTCCTAAACCAACAACAATTCAGTATTCACATGTAATATATGTACAACTTTGCTGTCATATGTCTTTGCTTTTTCAGGAAACCATGAATTTCCATGAAGACGCTTCTGCTACAGCTGTTAAAGATAAACTTTTGTGTTTATTTTAATGTGCGTGAAGCATATTCCTCTGTCATTGGTGGATAAATGCAGGACTGAGTCCACCTACAAAGCATCCACACACCGTCTCTTTATGTTTGTATGACTCCTAGGGTTAGTTTCAGCTCTGTGTGACTGTTTTCTTCTCCCTGCTAACCTTTCAGTCTGATATTTTTAAAAAGCAAAAACACTACAGAGGCACACACACAGTATATTGCAAATACTGGCATTACTGGCATTGTTTGTGTTGCTGGCTACCCTGCTTTAAATGAGAATGAGACAAAAAGAATGCATTATCTAATCTCTTTGTCTTTCACCCAAGCCTAGATTGTAAATACCACACTGAAGCAGTGTCAGAAATAACAAGTGAGCTACCTTTTACTTAATGCCCTGTCATGCGTCCTTATTTCTGAAATAGGTCAGCGACTGCTCCAGCCTGAATGCATCCATCTTTTAAACATAAGCCCAACTAGGTACTGTGGAATGTATGTTCAGTTATCTCTGCTCCCATCTGTCTGATTGGTTCATTTAGAATCACAGAGCCACTCTATGTCAGCTTTCTGTCCTTTTCCACTCATTTTTTCACCAATGCAAAAAATAGCACTTTCATAATAAATTAATAAAGAGCTTTTATTGGTATTTTAATCATTTTACCTGCTCTAAAACCTCTGAAGGTTATGTATTACATTCTAGCACATAGCACCAAAAGTTCTCTTATGAAGGATTTTATGCTGATGGATGATTATTAATTTATTTGTTTAACTAAGTCTAATGTGATGATTTTCTCTTGCATGGCATCAGCTTGCAACCTATTGAACCTTGATTCTCAAAAGTCCTGAATCTTTTGTGCATGACTGAATTTGCAGTGCGCACACTAGTCGGAGTTGAAAATGACAGCTTTTTGTTAGGCTATAAAAGATGGTTTGTGGTGGGTATAAATATAAAAATATTAATTTATGGTAGCAAGCACTCATTCAGTGATAAATTCGAATTAGACACCTTTCACCAAAATTGGGCCATTTTTGCTCCCTTGTCTTTCTCTCCCCTTTGTTTGTGGTTTCATAGTTTTTCCTACTTGATTAACTATTTTATGTGATAAACCTGCTGTGAGTGCAATAAACACGATTATGAGGCACACTGAAAATCATGGGTTTATGTTTGAAAGAAAACCAATGTAGCATTTCTGCAGTGTATCACATGAAATGGATGTGCAGTAGTGGCTAACTTTCATAAAGAAACTGACAAAAGGGCTCTGCCATACCAGTGCACTGCTTCATGAATGATGTGTGGATCTCGTCTGTCTCTTTAACACTGTGTTTGCTCATACTAGTTTAAAAAAAACTGCAAAAGGTAGATATATAGGGACTGACAGGTGGAAATCGAGTGCAACAGATATGAACCATCACCTCCCTCAGTTGGCTTTGAATCCCTCTCTACCTGTCTTTGCAGTATATCAACATGCTATTAAAGATGATTAAAATCTATTCACCACAATGATTTGCTTTGCTGGTTCTTGGATTTTACTATGCATTAGGGTACAGTGTGACTTAACATTTTAATTTTACACATGAAAGATTCATCAAAAAGTGGAAGGTGGAACAATATGTGTTATAAAAAGTACAAGTAACTAGATGAAAGGTAACCGGTGCTGTACATATTTCAGCACCAGGCACAGAGAACATTGATGAGAGAGAGAGAGAGTGCTTTTTACTAATGCATGCATGAAATAAAATAAAACTAATTTGACCCAGAAGAATGTTAATGGTCTTTCAGGCAACAATTTGTCATTCATTAATACTGCTTGTGGCTTGTGCCACCCCTGGCTCAGACCATGGCCTCAAAGAAAAGACTGACTCTGACACTTAACATAAATAGCTGCAAACATTTAGCCTATGTCAGTTCATCTGATAGATAATAATCAGGGGTATCAAAAACAAACATCACAGTACAATACAATATGGCCAACTAAAACAGGGCACAGTATACTCTGCAGAGTGATGTAGGCCTACAGCATGTTGCAGTTTATAGGAACAAAGACATGGATAGGTCAAATGGCTGCCATAAGTAAACAGGGTACATATGTGTATTAAATCAAAATCAAAGCACACCAGGCTACATTGACTTTTCATCAGCAACAATTAAAGTTACCGTTCATATACAGATGAACACTATAATTTCTAGGTATAATTAAGACATCAAATTCCAGGATCACTTATCAACAAACCAGCCTAGAACACCACACACACACGTATGAGCTTTGTGACTGCCAACACAAATAGGCCAGGTTGCCTCCAAGGGATCCAGTCCTCATCAACACCATCACATATTCAATGCTATCTTCTACTTCTTCTTCTTTTGGCTGTTCCCGTTAGGGGTCGCCACAGCGAATCATCTGTTTCCACCTAACTCTATCCTCAGCATCCTCTACTCTCACCCCAGTTAACTTCATGTCCTCTTTTAGCACATCCATATATCTCCTCTTTGGCCTTCCTCTTGACCTCTTGCCTGGCAGCTCCATCTCCAACATCCTTCTACCAATATAACTGCTATCCCTCCTCTGCACATGTCCAAACCATCTCAATCTGGACTCTCTGACCTTGTCCCCAAAACAGCCGACCTGAGCTGTCCCTCTGATGTGCTCATTCCTAATCCTGTCCATCCTGGTCCCTCCTAAAGAGAACCTCAACATCCTCATCTCTGCTACCTCCATCTCTGCCTCTTGTCTTTTCCTCACTGCTACAGTCTCTAACCCATACAGCATAGCTGGTCTCACTACTGTCTTGTACACCTTTCCTTTGATTCTTGCTGACACTCTTCTGTCACACAACACTCCTCACACATTGTTCCACTTCCCTCCCTCTCATTCATACACATGTATTCTGTCTTACTACAACTGACTTTCATTCCTCTTCTTTCCAACACAGACCTCCGCCTTCCAAGGTGTTCCTCCACCTGCTCTCTGCTCTCACTACAGATCACAATGTCATCCGCA